CGCCCCCTGAGCTGCTTTAATCCAGCCCCAGAGACTAGAGGGTCTCTTTTTCCTGTTCCCTTGTTCCCAGCCAGCCACCTCCTCTCTCCCTAAGCCATCTAGGACAGAGCTGCGGGCCAGGACTTTGGTGTCCCAGCCTATCCCTGCAGAGACCTCCTGCCTGCAGGACAGGCCTGGCTGTGAGGCCTGCTCCCCACCTCTCCCCCCACAGGATTGGTGACCTGGGAAAAACCGAAGGACTCCCTCCAGACAAATGTTCATGCATGACCCAGTTGGCTTCTATCTGCTCCCTTGGAACCTGGGAATGGGGTCAGGGCTTAGGGGAGGTCACAGCTTCTTGTCTGACTTTGGGACACAGCCATTGGGAATACGCAGGAGAGGATGCCCTAGGCCAGCTGTCGCCAACCTTTTGGACCTCACAGACCCACTGGTTGGCGACCACTGCTCTAGGCAGTGTTTCTCTGAGAGCTGGCTCCTCTTCTGTGGGGAAGTGGGCTGTTTTGAGGGTGACGAGGGGGCCTGTCTTGGGGAGGGCATAGGGTGGTACCCATTTGTTTTGCTCCTGGAGGACTCTGGGTCCCATTGTGTCCAAATCCCACTGTTCCTTACCCACCCCTTACGCTGTGAGTTCTGTCTGGTGGTTCCCCAAGAAGCTTTGAAGAAATGCAGATGCTCAGGTTCCCCCACATGTTTTTTCTGGAGGGGTGACCTGGGAATGTGTTTTTTAACAAGCTCTGCAGGGGACCCATGACCAGCCAGTCTTGGGCTGCCTTAGTTCAGCCTCTTCATTTTACATATAGGAAAGGGCCTGCCCATGGTGGTACACCTGGCCTGGGTGTCAGGTGTGTGTGTCAGGTGGAGGGATAGCTGTGGATACATATTGGCTTTATATATATTTTATAGGCCATGCCTCAGGGTTCTCTGCAGGGCAAAGCCGACTCTGCCCCACTGTTTCCCTGGCACTGCGAGCTGCCTGATGGTGTCTGCATACTTAGTAAGTGGCCCAGGATGTTGACTGTCTGAGGATCCATGAATAAGACACCAAACTGACCGGTTCTGGAGTAGGGTCCATCCTAGATCTCCCTGTAGGCCACTGTGCAAGCCTGGACCAAGCTCAGGGACAGGCACACCCTGGATCTGCTGTGTGAGGTGATAGTCAGTGACCTGCAGCCTAGGGAGTAGGGACTCAGGAGAACCAAGACACTTTCCACTCAGTTTCCCACTGGTGATGGTAGTGGCTCTTCCTTCTCTCATTACCTGCAGACCCCTACCATGTTGCTGAAACAGATGAGCTGTTGGGCTAGTGTGTTAGGCCTGGACAGGGCTGACAAAGGGATTGGGATGAGGTCAGAGCTCCTAGGGCAGGCCTGAGACCTTGGGGGAGGGGGAGCATGCTTCAGGGAGGCTGGATTCAATTAAGTGGAGAAGGTGAGAGATGGTGAGCCCCTTGTCCATGAATGGACTGGAGCCTCGAACAGTCTGGTAGAACAGGATGAGCTCAGGCTCCACACCCTCTCGGTTACCAACCTCCCTGTCTTAAGTCTTCATTTCCTTGGGCTCTTACATGGTAGGCATGACCCGAGTCCCTGCCATGGTGGTTATTAGTTTCTGCCAGCTGGGGCGACCCCCTCCCCTTTACCTCCAGATTCAGATTACCTCTGAGTATGAGGGCATGAAGGACACCGTGGGATGCCCCGGGGTTGGTAGGCGGGGAAGGCATAAGTCAACTTGAGGCTGGAGCCTCAAAAGCTGCAGAAGTACAAGGAGAAGGAGGGGGAGGAGGAGCAAGAAGAGAAAAAGGGCAATCGTAGTCTGCCCAGGAGAGGAGGCGTTGCCTTTGAGGCTAAGGCCTTTGAGGAGGGACGCATTCTCTCCAAAGGTATAGGTTGGGGACGTGCATTTGGATGGAGAAAAGGAAATATCGGTGTACTAGGCTTAAAGCCTGGCATTTGGCCGGCAGCACTTAGAGCTTAGCTTGGTGCTGGTAGGGGGTGGGGGTTGGTCCACTGGGCGGCGCGTGCCCGCGCACTCCCGCTCGTGCCCGCGCCCTATGGGCAGGCAGTTCATTTGCATGGGGAGCCACAGCCGCCAATGGGCGTGCACGGCTGGGAATGCCGGGAGCCGGGCTAGGCTGGCCCGCAAC